AACATATCAACGCACTTTGGATCCAGAATTTTGAAGGTATCAAATGAGTTCTGCTTAAATCCTGAGTACTTACTTATATTCGATCTACAATCTTGAAATATTTAAGGTGGAGTTTAAGATGACGACCGATACACCACTGTGCAGTCTTACTAAGAGTCATTTAAAATATGATGTAGCATTAAAAATGTATGTTTATTAATAAGAGGTAAATGTTTCATAAATTTTACCACTTTAATCATCGCGAAAATCTTGAGTTTATATAGAGGATATTTGTTTGTTTGTGTGTAAGATGAAATTTTATTTCATCGAGTGAGCTTTAAAAACAGTATTCTCACGAGTGGCGTAGCCACGAGTGAGAATACTGTTTTTAAAGTTCACGAGATGAAATAAAATTACATCTTACACAACAAACAAACAAATTTTCTTTTTATTTTATGCTTAAAAACAAGTTAAAACGAAATTTCCTTGATATTAACTTTAATATTAAAATCTGTTTTCCCCACTGGTAGCCTCTATTATGTACATGTATTAGTCGAATTTCTCATAAAATACAAGAAGTCTTGGGCTGAAAAATAAGTTCGATAATCAACGTTAAATGGCGGTGATATTATTCATTTTATTAAAAAAAATATGAATGATCGCTTGTTTTAATAATAAAAACAAACAATTCTAGTAGGAGAAAAAGTCCAACCATCCATCCATATTTCTGTTACTTACTGCGAATTTTTATTAGACCTGGCTCTGTGAAATGTAAACGGCCGCCATTTTTAAAAGTTGTGTATTTCAATAATTGTGTTTGATTCAGAGGGATATCATTTCGATTTGTTAGTCATCCACCTTTTTAAAAGAAAGAAAACTTATTTGAGGATTGTAACAGACAATATTTAAGTGTTGACAGATGTGTAAACATTCAGAAAACGGCTAGGAATTGGAAACTTGGATTTGTTGAAAGGCTGCCTTACGAACGCTGGGTTGTTTACTTATTCTTCGGGCTGATGGCTGTCATTGCTTTTCAAGTTTTCATGAAGCATATTGCAGTTATTGCTCGTAGGATACTTAAATATGCCCAAATATCATCAAGAACAGTTTTGTATGTGGAAGGAATGTATTTTTCAGACTGTAAAAATGAAACAATAAAATTAAGAGACGATATTTGGTGATTAGTAATTTAGATGAATAGAAGTAAGTTTTCTTCTTTTTATTACTTTTGACATTTAAGTTATTTATCAATTTCAGCTTTGCTTTTCTCTAAACAGCCTGACATTGTCAAAATTGTCAGCAAAAATAAAATTGAGGTACCACATTGGGAAAATCTTAAAAAAGTAGTTTCGTCATTAAAAAGTGAAATTATATTTTGATAATTTTCACTGTGAAATTATCAGATATAATTTTCACGGATAAATCAGTAATCCACTGAAAAGCATAAAATAAAACAAACTATTTAAATTGTAGATGCATTCCTAAAAATAACAGATGTTTCGAAGAGCATTCTGTTCTGTCAGCCATTTAATTCTGTCAGCCATTTAATCATATAAGCGTCAATTTTTTCTGAAGAAGACTAAACGTCGAAAGCTTAAGAAAAGCGTTTGTTTTTATTGAACTGATTATATATTAGCCATTTAATTGATAAGTTTTGGTGCCATATTGAGCCCGAAATTAAATGTGATGGGGATGTAATAAAGTACAGTAAATATCACCTTAAATTATTGATAATATTTCAAGCATATATTCCATTTCTGTTTATATGATTTGTAACAGGTTAGTTAGAAGTAACAGTTATCATTATAAAGTTTCGTGAGGACTATAGATGTAAATTCATTTCAAGCATATTTCACACTTTTCGATTTTCTCAGTATTTGGACTACATGACATACCCACTGGTAGCCCTCAATTTCAGACGACAAGTCAAGTACATGAAGTCTTGAGCTAAAAAAAAAAGTTAAATCACAGGGATAAGACGCTTTGATCAGAAATCATCCCCTACCGCTACTCCCCTCCCTCCAGTCTCTGTTACAAGCCCTCAAAAATATGATTTCAAGTCAATTTCCACAATTAGTGCGAGTTATAACTAATACTTTAGAGGTATAATGAGGAAAATATCAAAAGTGAAACAGTCTCGTTTAGGAACTATAAAAATATTGATAAAGACGCTTTCTCAGAAGATCTGAAAAGTCTAGAAATTGAACAAATAGACATAAACGAATATGTATGTGATTTTGAGAATGAAATTCAAGTTATTTTGGACAAACATGCCCCAGTCACAGAGAAAACTCGTATTACTCGTGCTCCAAAGCCATGGTTCAGTGATTCAATTCTTGAAAAGAAACAATCATTTCGGAAAGCAGAAAAAACATGGAAACGATACAAAAAACCCGAGGATTATCATTCATTTCAAAATGCCCGGAATAAATACTTTATGGAAATTAAAAAAGCGAAAAAACAAACATTCAGCGAAAAAGTTTCGGAGTTTAAAGGCGATTCAAAGAAATTATATAAATTTGTGACAGAAATTACCGGAAGTAAAGTACAAAATCCTATGCCGAGCGGCGAGAGTGACAATGCTATTGCGGATTCGTTTGCGGACCATTTTATGAACAAAATTTCTAAAATCAGAGAATCTTTGAAAACTTACCCGAACTACGAACCTTCGGTCAAAAATGTGGAAAATCTACCAAAATTCGACGAACTTTCCGAAGATGATGTGAAGAAAATCATAAACAATATGCAATCGAAATCGTGTGAACTCGACGTACTACCAACTGTCGTCTTGAAAATGTTTTTGACTGAATTACTTCCGTTGATAACTAAATTAGTGAACCTATCGCTCAGTCAAGGCATCTTTCCTGAGAAATGGAAACAGGCTGTAGTTCGACCATTGCTTAAAAAAGTTGGACTTGATCTGATCTATTCGAATTATCGCCCAGTCAGTAATCTTCCGTTTCTTTCAAAAGTTATTGAAAAAGCAGCCCTATTAGTGTTAAATTCACATGCTGAAAAACATAAACTTCTACCCACAAATCAAAGTGCTTATAGAAAAAATCATTCCTGTGAGTCTGCGCTTCTGCGTCTTGTGAACGACCTTCTCGGCGCAATGGAAAAACAGGAAGTGACTGCTTTAATCGCCATTGACCTGAGCGCCGCGTTTGACACGGTCGACCACAGCATTTTGATCGACGTGCTCAACAAGCAATACGGACTTACCTCTACCGCATTAAGCTGGGTTGACTCCTACCTTCACCCACGCAGTTGTCGGGTTAATGTAAACTCGGCATATTCGACGTCACGTGCACTGGAGTGTTCTGTTCCTCAAGGATCCTGTCTCGGGCCCTGGTTGTATCTCGCCTATGCAGGCACACTTTTCGATGACATTCCGCCGACGGTCACACTTCGTGGCTTCGCAGACGACCATACTATGGACAAATCGTTTTCTCCAAATATACAAAACAGTGAAAAGAATACAATAAGTGATTTAGAAAACGCTGGCGAAACAACGAACAACTGGATGAATTCTAATAAGTTGAAAATGAACACCTCAAAAACCGAATTCATTATGTTTGGGAGTAAGCAACAACTTACCAAATGTGAAAACTAAATCTATCAAAATTGTAAACGATACCATCAACAAAGAAAACTGCATTCGATATCTTGGTGCTTTCCTCGACGAAAATTTGAACTTCAAAGAACACGTAAAGCGGAAATGTAGAACTGCCATGATAAATTTTATGCGGATCAAAAACATAAGACAATACCTCACAAAGGAAGCGACAGAGACTCTTGTGTTATCTTTAGTAATGTCTCACTTAGACTACTGTAACTCCATCTTATACGGTATCGCAAACTGTGATTTACAAAAGATGCAAAGGATTCAAAATATGTGCGCAAAGTTAGTTCTTTTAAGAAGTAAATATGATAGCTCTAAGCAAGCTTTGTTCGATCTTCACTGGCTGCCAGTAAAGGCAAGAATAAGTTTTAAAATCTTAACTTACATGTTCAATTGTTCGAAGGGAAACGCACCAGATTATCTTACTGAACTTTTAGAAAGCAAATCTGCAAAACGAGTTCTCAGATCATCAGAATGTGTTGACAATTGTTACAATGTTCCTTTCAATAAGAGAAAATCTTTCGCAGACCGTAGCTTTAGTTACATTGGACCTAAACTGTATAATCAATTACCGACAGAAATCAGAAACAGTAACACTATAGAAGCATTCAAGAGAAATCTTAAGACCCACATGTTCAGGGACTATTTCAACTTGTTTTAATTCAAAAGTGAAAAAGCGCAAATGACGTTTGAAATTTTAAAATTCATAGCTGTGATATGTAGTATATTCTAAAAGTGATTTTTCAATGTGATATTAGTAATCTTTTATCAATTTTTTATTATTCTTGATGCATGATATGTTCTTAACTTGAATTGATACCATTTTACTCATTTTCATTTAAAATCATTCAATAATTTCTTAATATCTGCTCATAACACTGTAACCATTTCTTAATAGTATTTTATTAGAAGTATTTTATTATCATTATTATTGCTGTACAACGCCATTGAATATGAATGTTTTGTAAAAATAGGCGTTTAAGTAAATAAAAAGTTTCAAGTTTCAAGTTTCAATTGTGTAATAGTGGTATGATTAATTAATGTGGAAATGTACTTTAAATTATAATTTTGGGGGTTGTAACAGGGACTGGAGGGAGTGGGGGAGGGGGTAGCGGTAGGGAATACTGTCAGAACAAAGCGTCAGGTATCCCTGTGAGTTAAATGATGATATGATAATGATATTTTTTATTTTATTAAAAAAATATTAGTGATCGCTTGTTAAACAATTCCAGAAGAAAAAAAAATACTTGAGAATGTGAAATTAAAAAAAAGATACGACACTTTTTAGAGTTTTTCATATCGTAATGTCTTTTGTTTTTCCATGTTGAAAAAAAAAAACACAACATAAGACAATATATATTGTATCTAGATAACTGTGGCGTGCCATAAATCGGGAAGTTTAAAGTTTATAAAACAAGATGGCGGCTTGTGAACAAATCATTTCATCTGATGAAACGTATGATTTCAACTGTACACCTTGTTCACAACAGGACAGGTTAATTGAAGCCAAGAGGTTTTGTGTGGAATGTGGGGAGTATTTTTGTTCAACATGTCTATCATGGCACGAAAGGTTTGGTGGTACTAAAGGACATACTTTGGTAAAATGTGAGAATGTTTCAAAAGACCATGTTCCCTTGACTTTGAGTAAATGCGAGACTCACGCCGGTAAGGAGGAGGATATGGTATGTGGTGACCACTATGTCGTCTGCTGCCGTGTTTGCATAACAAAAGATCATAGGTAAATTTTCTGATTTCGTTTAATAACCTCCCCCTCCCCCCGATCGTTCATGTAACAATCACTCTGGTTAACGCGAGGGGGGTATGACTTAATACCGGATATGCCTTTAAATAACGGAAATGACTTATATTTTACAAAGTAATTGTTTTTTATTATTTTTTCTTGATACGATGTTTTATAATAATGAAATGATTTTACATGCAAAATATCGTTAAATTTGGTCCATAAATAAAAAAGTTATCAGTTATATTCGCGATGTATTTAAAAAGTCATATACGCGGATATGAGTCATATCCGGTATTAAGACATACCGACGCGAGGGTAACATATCTACTGAGTACTGTAAGGTTCGAATGAATTGATTTGCTATCTTGAATGCTACGCAAAAATAATTTTTTGATAAAGGTCATAATTCAATAATATAGCTACAGGAGAAACTCCAAAAACTTTCCACTGTAAATCTGTAATGGGCGGTCTGGGGCGTTCCTCTTAACTTAAAACATGTTCTCTGTTGTCTGAATAATGGATAATGGTGATAACCTGACATACATATATACATATACATACCATGCAACCGTATGCATTGTCAACCTATATATTGAACACTTTTTTGGGACACAAAAAGTGACAAATAGGTGAGGTCCTGCTATTCTGTCTAATTTTGTAAACACTATATACATGTACATTTATGCATGTATATAGAAAATTTATAATTATCGTTTTGAATTTTGATTATAAAAATGATTGTAATTAAAATAGGCAACAGAATGCATGTTTTCATTATATATATTTTCAGTTTTTTTCATTAAAACACATTTTGGCTCAGAGATGATTTTTTTCAAAAATGAGTTTTATAATTTGAAGAAATTAGCATTGAATGTAAAAATATTTTTGATAAATGAAGCAAAATGTAACCAAGTTAGTATTTTGACCTTTATACAAAATACTAAATCACTACAACTGAAGTGATTGCCAAAAGGCATCAGAAGCAAAAGACAGTTCAGGCAATAGGCCAGTGAGTAAATTTTTTGAAACTATAACTGGACATCAAAAATAAAGATCTAATGAGAAACAAAAAGGAAAGCTTTTTGGGGTCATGATGGGCCTTTTAGATTTATCATTAGGATTTCATTAATATTCGGGACTATATTCTTTTAATGTTATAGTCCACAAAATTATTTCATTCCTAATTTAACAGCTAGGAGTACATGTATATCATCTAAACAAGTAAACCCAAATAGAAGTTTGTGTGCGAAATTGTTCAGAAAATATATTGAATAGATCTAATACTAAAATATGAAATATAGATATGATATAAAAATAACCAAATTATTAATGTTACAAGTAACAAGTTAAGTCAACAAGCAAAATTACTACTCAAAATGATTGAAGAATGTATAAAAATGGTACTTTACCAAACCAATTTTTTACACGTTTGGTCATTTTCCTCCTTACAGAGCCTACTAAAGTCCATTTAATTGAGGATATTTTAATGGTGTCGTTTTGATTTCATTAGTCTTTTAAAATATCTGGTTCCATATTTGTAATTAAATCTAGTATTATTTAGCCAATATACATATAGCTATAATGATTATTATAATTGAAATTAAACACTTCTATCTTTCCAAAAATGATTTACTAGATATATCTGGGACATAAGATAACTTATGTCCCAGGATATATAAATTATGGTTAAAGAAAAACAGGAGAAGAATTCTCGACCCTTTTGGGATTTGAACCCAGGACCCTCAGTTTCAAGGAAGTGTGGAGTCTTGTATGATATTATTTAACTCAGTCCAAAGACATTCAGACTGCTTTGCGCATGACGTACATACTGTTTAATAAAAGAATATCATAATTTCCACCAGAAAACGTAAAATGACAAGTCTGTCTGTAGGTTATGGAACACTTTTCCTTACCATTTACTCTTATTCTGATCTATATACAAGTAAAAAATTTAAATTAAACCTCCCACACAAAAGAGATAAAAAAATAACACTTTTGGGGGAAAATTAAAGCACAACGGGCACGTAAAAATGCCCCCAAATGCTTTAAAAATTTATGTTTTTCTAAAATTTTAGTTTGGGGGGTTTTTAAAAGGCATAGCTTTTTAACCTTGGGCCGTAGCTTGTGTGCGTACAAATTTTAATTTAATTTTAAAAAAATTTTTTTTAAAGAAGAAAACCCACATGGGGGAAAAAATTTTTGTAGGGTTTTCTTGGTTAAGACTGGGTTTTCCAACAAACCTTTTCTGATGAAACATTTAAGAACAGGAAAAAATTTTGAGAATAAAAAAATTAAAAAGTGTGTAAAATAGTAAAAAACCCTCGCCCTTTTTAAGTCTGCATGATATAATTTCATTATAAGCATGATTTTAGACAAAAAGTAAATCTTTGCCGCACACAATGACTAGTAGGAAAGGTCAAGTAAGAAAGGTCAAGCGCAGTCGGATCCGTAGCCTGAACCTCGTGGGGAAGCTATCCAGCTTCTTAAGTAAGGCTGGGAATAAGTCACTAATCACCTGCTAGCTTATCTAAATGCATTTTACAGAGATAATATGCTTCATTGTAATGATTTAATTTGCAACGGACAAAGCACTATATTTTTCTCTTTCAGATCATGTCAAGATGTCGATTTTTTGCCTGATTTGATACAGAAATATAAAAATGATGGAACACTTGTAGAATTAAATGATGATTTGAATAGAAGGATGGAAAAAATAAAATCTGTACTAAAAGAATACACTGCCCACACCCTCAAACTAAAAACCAGAAGAACGACGTGCATGAAACGTTTAGAGATGTTTGAAAAATCTATCATAGAGTGTGTTAAAAGTGTTATAGCCAAGTCCGAGACTGATATCGAAAGAAGATTAGCACCTGAAATTTGCAGTGCGCAAGAATATATCCAAAGGTATAATGAGCTACTTTCAAGGCTGGGTTGTTTGTCAGCAAGTTTGGCAAATGAAAACAATGATATCGCTGAATATAAGAATGTATTAGAAGGTAAACGTATAGTCAATGAGATTAAGATCGAACCTTGTATGTTCGATGACAAATTGACCACTGACTGTAAGTTTCAAAATGAAATCATGGAGGCCATTACCAGCTTTCTTAAGGAAGGCCGACTATTTGGAACTGTAGCAATATCAGTAATATCAGATTCTGGAAATGACTTTGATGTGCCGAATATGTGCGTAAAAGAGTATGATTCTTCAGTCTTAATTTTATTAACTGACTACTATAACAGAAACATAAGACTTTTTGACAACTGTTTAAAAGAAAAGGAAAGTTTGACAGTTGGAGGAACCGCTTGGGGGCTTTGTGAGATTAATAAACACGATATTGCCTTTACTTTGCCAGGATTGAAGAAAGTGCAATTTATATCAGCTGATGCGCATCTAGCTTTAAAAACAAGCTTCGATACACGTATACATTGTCGTGGCATTGCATGTCTAAATGGAAAGATTTATGTGACTGGTGGTGGAGTGAAGGGGGAAGAGAAAGGGCAATTAAATGTGTTTGATTTAAAAGGAAAACTACTCAGTAGATATGATCAAGATTTGGAGGGAAACTATTTCAGTATTCCACGAAGTGTGATAGTAAATACCGAAGGGATATTCATCACAGATGAACAAAATGGCGTCATTTGTTTAGATATAGAAGGTCAGCGGAAGTGGGTGTCGAACAACTCAAAATGCAAATTTCCATGGGGAATTTGCTTCACGCCAAATGGGAATCTTTTCGTTGCTGGACATTTGTCAAACAATATTGTGATTGTTAGTAAAGATGGTGAATTTTTAGGTGAACTGTTAAATGAAAATGACGGTCTATCTGCTCCAAAGGCTCTCTGCTTCGACAAACGGAACAATTGCATTATAGTCTCTGAATTAATAAAGCCACATCTGAAGATGTTCTATATTGGTGATTGTGATATGTAATATACCAGAAAAAGTAAACCGTAAGCAATGAACGTGTACGGTTGAACAATTCGAATAGTAGATTTATGACAAGACAGCAGGATATATGAAAAGCTTTTAAGAATGATTTATCTGCAGATGTTGATGCTATAGGGTGATATTTAGATGGTTTTATTTACTATTATAATCTAATAAATCAAGTTCCATATATGTAGTTTACAAATGAATGCATTTATAATATCAATTGAATACTTGATCGATTTATAATAGTTCTCTTTTTTATATTATGTATTATTTTAAAGGTAAGCAAATACATATATAATTAATTTCATTGGCATATCTACCTTCAGAATTATTTATGAATTATGTATCAATATTTGCTAAAGAAATTTCTTTGAGTTTGTATATTTTCGACTTGGCATAAAGCTTTCAAACTATTCATAGCTGATTTCAGCGGAGATGTATAAATCTCAAACAATATTGCATGGGATACTTTTATATTATTCATTTTTTCAATTGTTTTAATTGAATTCATTATTAAGTACAATTGAAATTGAAATAGATATAAAGTATCCCTTTTCGTATTATATCACGCATACCTACAAGAAACTGTAGTTTACCCTCCGGATCAAAAAACTACTTGGAATTTATAAGACCACTTTTCGCAATCAGTTAACCAGTACTAGTTGTCTTCATCTTCGCAAGGAACGCATATTACTTGTGTACATAGCAGAGCTGAGGTAGAGTGCGAATGACGGAGGAAAGGATGTTGTAATCAGTCCGACGAAAGTGACTTTGATTTTTTTCATTTAATTAAGGTATTCCCGAGCTATTTGAATCATAAAAAAATGAAGTCTAAAGACGTCAAAGATAGAGCTTTTTACACTTTAAAACAAAATGGAAAAAGGTTGGGTATGGTAATATGACTCATAATGACTAGTGTCAACGTTCCGAAACCAACTTTTTCCCTGTAAGAAAGAAAAACAAATACTTACCTTCGGGTTCCTTGTTAAATTTAGCCCAAAGGATTGGCGCCCCAAAGGATAAACATGCAACAATAAATAAACTGAAATTGTGTGTAAATATGTCCGAATTTGTCCGAACTGTAAACAAAGTATAGAGAAATGCAGTTGAAAAAATACAACAGATACAAAATACAATTCAACAGAAACGAATACCAATACATTCTTTAACCCCTTACATTTACTAGATTTCGTTTTTTTGGAGAAAAAATCCTCGATTTTCCTTCTTTTAGCAGACATGACGAACGACACGATTGCGGCGCAATTTATAATTTGCGGCACTTTTTGTGCCGGATCTCGGCATTTTTTTGACAATTCTAACCGGCCTTTTTGTCATTCTAACCGGCCTTTTGGAATGTCTTCACATGCAGGGGCTGAAACACATTATTTGTTCCGCTAGGGTCGAGGAACAAATTGTGCTCCTGACGCACTGCTATTATAACTCATCGACTTCTGAGCGTTTACGCAAGTATCGGATGGATGTGGTAATTTACATACAATGCAGGTGTGCCAAAACTGAAAAAAAAACCATCTTATAACCGTCCGCCTTTGAAATTGTAATCATAACAAACACCTGCAGAGGCATTTCTGATTACCTCGTCACTAGTTGAAGGGCTGTAGCCTAGCAAACCGCATGTAAGCCACAAATGGCCATCAATATTCGACCACAGACTACTAGAGTTTATAGACATGCAAGGCGAAATTGAATATCATATTGGTAACATATCTGGAATTTATTAGAATTTTTACAATTGTCATGTATTTCAAAAGTTTTTAATGTAAACTAAAATGAAATTTACAAAAGCATCAGTACAAGAATCAATATTTTCAATTTGTTTTAGATCTAGTTGATTTATAAGATTTCAATACAAAGTTATTATTTATGAAATAAATTTGCATGTCATCTTGTGAACTGGGCATATGGAAATTTTTGTGCAACAATTGTGCAAGATGGACATACTGATTATTCCATTTTTTTCCTGTACAACGCATCTGAAATATGAGTATCCAGGTCATGAGTAGGTATTACCAAACTAGGGTCACACTCACCTTGGATATTGGGGTTTCAGAAGGAGACAGCCTTGGAGAAACCATAGGAAAACCAATCACGTGATGCTCTTGCTGAAGCTCAGGAGCGGGTTTGTCGGCCACCTGACAGTCTGTAGGTAAATTGCCATCACCATGATCAGAATCAGTAGGAACACGTGCTTCCACATTGACAGCCACATTTTTTCAGCTGTTGGTGTTGCTTTTCAAGTTTGTTTTCTTGACCGCGCCGATTGACCTCTTGCCAATGACCTTGTGGCATGGCGTGGAAACGAAACGGGGTTTCCATGTCTGTTAGATTTTGCCTTTGCTTTAGGCATCATAGGAAATATAATTCAATACAGTGATTAATGATAAACTTACTGGTATAAAAAGTATTTTTCACTTAATACAGTTACTATATCACCGTGTCCCACGGCCACACCTCGTAGATCTAGTACTTAAAATTATTATTCATTTACTGACTGAACTGTATTTATCCTGATATTGTAAATCAAATATCAATTTGATACATGAAAATTAACTATTAAATAATTGTGACAAATTAACTTATCTGATAAAGCTTTTGGTAGGTAAATATTCCGATTCAACTTCGATTAATCTAGAAAACAGACTGGGCCATGTGCTCCTGAATATATGACGTGCACGACTAATGACGTAAGCGCATTAACTGTGACCTTTCAACTCAATCGTAACAACTCGGCAATCTCCGTCAAGTTCGAATTCTTGAAGTCGCCCGAGGTGTTCCGAATGCTTTCAACTAAAGGGGAAACATAATCTGAGTTGCGTTTAATAAGACCTTACGACTTATCTCCATTATAATGACAGATTGTCTAGACAAATTGCATTATCACATTAACACGGATAATGCTTAATATCTTATAAAAATGTCGCACAGGTTAGTTTAATATTATTCTTGTTTATCATTGTTTTAACGAATGCATTAAAATGAACATTCGATATTGAAATAGATATATAGCACCTCTCTTCCTCTGTTACAAAGCTTATCTCATTTGTTGGTGGTTGTGATTTTTATAGTTTACTCTCCGGAAAACAACAGTAAACCTTTATGAACAAGAATTTGTAACAGAGATTTGTAACAGAGTTACCAACGTCCCCCGCCCAAACGAAGTTTTATATGAAGCACGAAATTGTGCTTCTTCAAAAAAAAAAAAAAAATGAGGTCTGAATCTGGACTTTCAGTGCAAAATATTGATCAATGCTAGGCCTGCACATGCCAGTAACAATAAATTCATTAAAGAAATATAATGAAATAACTCCTGTGTATGTGTCTACAGAAATACATGTTTATACTTGTAATCACTTTTTCAAAGTCATGAAATGTGACAAATACAAAATCAATACAAAATACGGTCTGTTACAGGGTATATTTCGAGGCAATTCAAAAATGACATTTTATTTGCATGGGCCTGACCTTGACGTAGGAGGTAGGGATCTAGGTGTTGCGTTATTGTTAACATTTGTGCCAAGTTATTTTAAAATCATTTGAATGATGAAAAAGTTATATAACGCACACACAATATACCCTAGAATTGACCATATTAAGCTTTGGTATTCCAGTGTGACCTTGACATTGAAGGTAGGAGTCTTGCTGTTCAATATGACACATTGTCCCATTATTGAGAAAATGCCAAATTATTTCAAAATCCCTAGGACAATAAAAAAATTATGGTCTGAACACAAAATACACCCTATAAAAGACCATGTTAAACTTTGACCTCTAAGTGTGACATTGACCTCGGAGATAATGGCCCGAATATTGTGCAGGACACATCGTCTTATTATTGTAAACATTTATGCCAAGTATTTTCGATAGCCCTTGATGGATGAGATAATTATGCACTGGAAACAAAATATACCCTATAACAGATCATGTTCATCATTGACCTCCAACTGTGTCCTTGACCTTGGAGGTAGGCGACTAGTTTTTAAACATGACACATCGTCTTACTATTGTTAACATTTGTGCCAAATAATTTCAAAATCCCTTGATTTATGAAAAAGCTATGGACCAGACACAGACTACGACCTAAAACTGTGACCTTGGAGGTAGGCGACCTGTTTTTGCGCATGACATATTGTCTTATTATTGTGAACTTTTATGCAATATAATTTTAAAATCTCTTGATATGTAAAACAGTTATGGACTGGACACAAAATATACTCTGTAACAGACTATGTTAATCTTTGACATTCAACCGTGACCTTGACCTTAAATGTAGAAGGCTGGCTTTTGCACATGACACATCGTCCTATTATTGTGAACATTTGTGCCAAGTATTTTCAAAATCGCTCCATGGATAAGACAGTTATGGGCCGGACACGACATATACGCTCAAAGAGACAATGTTGACCATTAATCACCAAGTGTGACCTTGACCTTGAAGATAGGGATCCGGTTGTGTTGCATGACACATCGTCTTATTATATCAAACATTTGTGTCAAGTTATTTTAAATTCATTTGATAAATGACATAGTTATTGACCCGACACGAAAATGTGACGGACGGACGGAGCCTATTTCTTTATCTCCCATTTATCGAAAAGGCGGGGTACAATTGACCAGAGCACAGTCCATCCAAAGTATCGTTCTTGTACTTTCCGTCAAGCAGTTTACCAGTACTACATCATGTAGATGCCTTCAATTTAACAAGGAACCGGTACATGTATTACTTGTGTACGTGTCAGAGCATTGGTACAGTGCAAATGACAGTAGGAAGGTTTTCATGACCTGCATCATCCGGGAAAATTTTATTTATTTGATGATTCTATATTAAACATCGAAATCATTTTTTCGTTTTTGTGGTTATGTTATTGTAGAAACTATACGCCTGCTATGTTAGTTTACACATGCATTTATAAGTAATTTCTCTATAAGAAGCAACAACTACAAGAAGGTCCAAGGTCTTGCAATCTACCTGAAATGTAATGCGCAGTATTGTTTTATTGTTCGTCAAGTGTCATTTGTAACATTTATTTTAAAAGTTTGCCTCGTCTTAAAGATTTTTCTTAAAGGGTCTAATAAAAGCGATACGAGTACTAATTCTTTACGAAAAATATCAATTATAACACTTCAAATAACTCAAATATTTTAGAAAATGCCTTCATTGATATGATATACGTATGATAAAAGAAAAGAGGAACTAGGATGAATTGTTCGTAATGTATTCGTTCAAGATTGTTGAATATTGTATTCATAACTTATATAGACATTTAATTTTGTATCATACTAACAGAAATACTATAATCAAGTTAATTCATCATTTAAATACTTGCAAAAACCTACTTTCATCTAAATGAAATTCAATGTAAATCTTGTCATATATTTGTAAAAACTTGAATATGATAAATATAATATTTCCTGTTTTCAAGTTTCAAAATGTCATTTAAAGATTACGCAGCAAATACATAGCTTATCAAATGAAACTCGCTTGTGAGTCACTGTGTATATAATCAACTGTGGCGTGCCATAATATGCTTATTATGTTAACAACAAAATGGCGACGTGTAGAAACATTTGGTCGTCCGAGGAAGCTTATGATTACAATTGTACGCCTTGTTCTCAAGAAGGACGGTTTGTGAAAGCCAAGAGATTTTGTGTTGAATGTGGCGAGTATTTTTGCTCAACATGTCTGGCCTGTCATGAGAAGTTTGGTGTAAGTAAAGGACATACACTTATAAAGTGTGAGGAAGTTTCAAAAGACCAAGTTCCAGCACGTCTGAGTAAATGTGAACTTCACACCGATAAGGAGGAGGATATGGTCTGTAGTGATCATGATGTCGTCTGCTGTCGTGTTTGCATTACCACATGTCATAGGTAAATGTTCTAAAATATTTTGATTCTTATTATTAACATGCGCATATTTAAAGGATTTTACTCCAGATCAAAGGCACATACAAGTTAAAAATCTTATATAGAACTGTAAAAAGGTAAATATTAAAAATAAACGAACAAACTAATGCTTAAATGCGATTATTACCGTGATTTGAGTTTCTGTCCTAGGATGAAAACTTGAGATTAACAAAACAATAACAATTCGAAAAATAGGTTTAAGCAGATTTAACCTCATAAAAAGACAACGTTAACATATAGTGCACTTATATTCTCACACATATGGAGGGCTTTCGTTGCCAAAATTCCAGACATGTTAAACTGTCATTGTTTTTGTGTTATTGACGACCTGGATTTTATCTCTGTCATTATGGAAACGAACTTCTTGCATTCACTTGTCGTAATTTGTAGGTGGGAAGCGTGATTAAGTAATTCATGTTGATTTTCTTAATTACGATTTATTTTAATACTATCTGCGCACAGACATTTTAAAGTGTTATGGAAATAAAATAATATTTTCTAGATAAAAACCTTTCTGTCTGATTTTATAAAAAAGAAAAAATGAAAACATATTTAAATAGATAATGATATAATAGATATAACTATATCGATGTTTAAAATGAAAAGACAAATGTTCATACCCTATGTTGGTCAGTAAGCGACATGGAATACGCTTGGATTGACGTCAGCTTTTGGGTTTTAAATAAAAAAATTATATATGCAACACTTTTTTCCTGTTTATTTTACTTACAAAAAATATTCGACTTAATTTAGGATTGATGTTACAAACATATTTTAATCGGACGCTTCGGTTGTATACAATGGTTTTTGAGCTAGTGAACTGCACTCGGACGATGGTTAGTTTAATGAAAATAAATAGAAAAAAAATAGTGATTAGAATACTTTATTTCTACCATATGTATATATATATACAGTAATATACAATTATACACCTCACTTACAATGAATATAACCCTCTCGAGTGTTTAAATTTAATTTGAAAAAATGCTTCCGCTAAATTAAATCAGACGCTTTATTTCTTTTGGACGCTTTTTTAGTCAGACCCGCTAGAATGGGCAACAAGCGTGCTCTTGACTATGATCAGCTGGTTCGTACCATTCCGTAACAGAAGTTCGTAAATACCCAGCGCGTCATGCATGCCTTTAGATTGTTAAACTTTGTGAATCTACTTTTGTCTTATAAAACATGTTACTGTGAAACGAATTATTGTGGTTCTGCAGCTGGAAATACGTTTTCTTATATTCTATTTGAAAATTTCAGTTGTATATACATTTGTCTCATATCACATACAGATAAATATATATAATTGTGCAAACTTACTTATGTATTATATGCAATAAAAATTACGAACTTATTTTTTTATGTTAGTTCTATATGTAAACTTGTTACATTTGTATTTAAAAGTTGGAAGCTTCAGTTAAATAATTTGATTAGGATGCTAGGCATACACAAGTAGTTTTCAATAAGAACACTTTACACGTCTGGATTTTTGGCAACAAACACCCTCCATACATAAATGCCTTAGTGCAATAGGCAGAGCGTCCGTATCAACCAACGAAAAAAAACCATATAAACATGCAATCATAAGTTTGCCGCCCTAGTCAGGTATCTCTTTTTTTTCTTAACTATCTAGTATGGTCCTTAAAACACATTTTACGTTATGTTTCTGAAATTCATATACTTACAAGTGCGTGTAATGAGTAACTTTTGTGCTTTTGATGATTTGCATATGTGTACACACGAAAGTATATAGAGCACACGTCATGTTTTATTATAAAGGTGTGGTCGCAGATGAGATTTAAAAAAAAGAAATTAATATATATATATATATAACAAAATCACATTAGCACCATGTCAGGACATGGAGTTCATACGTATATGTTAAATTAAATAAAAGTAAGGTCCAATTTTAATCTCAGGACAGTAAAGCGTTAAAAAAAACTTTTCATTCTTAGGTCATTCTGCAAAATAAAGATGATTATAATGGAACAAAGGCGTGAGAGAATGTAAATTTTGCACACAAGTTACTGGTAAAGACCTATATAAAATGGTATAAAAATCTTAAAAACATTTCCAGTCCCGTCATGTCAAACAATTTCAGTGGAGTCCCTTTAAAACCCTTTGACGGTTTCAGTGTTAAAAATATCACCCTTTGATAAATGATTTCGGAAACATGTCTTGTAACTATTCAAAATGCAAAAAACTAAAATAAATTTTGATTTTAGGTCATGTCAAAACATTGATTATTTGCCCCATTTGATGAAGAAGTATAAAGATTACGAAAAGTGCGTAGAAGTAGAGAAGGAAATGAAAGATAGAATCGAAGAATTGAGTACAGCACACAAAGAATACTCTGCTAGAGCCTTAAAGCTAAAAACAAGAAAAATAACGTATTTGAAACGTTTAGAAATTCTAGGTCAAACAATTGACAAGTGTGTTAAAAATGCTATCACCGAGACTGAGAAAAATGTCGAAAATCGATTTGAACCTGAAATTTGCGACTTGCAAGACCACACCCAAAACTATAAAGAGATGCTTGTAAAATTCAGCTGTTTGTCAGAGGAGTTATCAAAGGAAAATGATGATCTTCTTGAATTTAAAAAGATATTAGAATGTAAACGGGCACTTAAGGAAATTGAAGTTGAATCTTATGGGTTCGTTTTAAACGAATGCTTTATAATTGACAACAAGTTTCAAAAGAAAATTGTGGAGTCTGTTGTAAGCTGTCTAGAAAATGAATTATTGTTTGGAACTATATTGATTGGAGGTCCTGAAAACAGTTTTGGTGCCCCAAATCTATGTGTTAAAGATTATGAAAGCTCATTTTTAGTTTTATCAGCTGACTATGACAACAGGAAAATCAGACGCATTGACAGTTATTTAAAAGAAAGTGAAAGTTTTGATGTAGAAGGAAACATCTGGGGGATTTGTGAGATAAACAAGCATGAAATTGCATTTACTTTGCCTGGATTGAACAAAGTTCAATTTCTATCAATTTATAAGGGTCCAGTTTTAACAATTAGCTTCATTTCAAATTTTCATTGTCGTGGTATTGCATGTTTCGATGAAAAGATTTACGTGACTGGTGGAGGGAAGAAAGGAGAAGAGTACGGGCAATTAAATGTGTTTGATTTGGAAGGGAAGTTACTCTGCAAAAGTTATCAAGATTTTGGGGAAAACTTTTTCAGCATACCACGAAGCATTATAGTAAATGCCGAAGGGGTATTCATCACTGATGAACAAAACGGTGTCATTTCTTTAGATTTGGAAGGACAGCGGAAATGGGTTTGTAACAACTCAAAATGCAAATTTCCATGGGGAATTTGCTTCACGCGAAATGGGAATCTTTTTGTTTGTGGACGTGATTCAAACAATATTGTGATTGTAAGTAAAGACGGTGAATTTCTAGGTGAACTGTTAAACGTAAATGACGGTCTTTCAGCACCAAAGGCTCTCAGCACTGACAAAGGGAACAATTTCATTATAATATCTGAATATAAGAAGCCACAACTGAAGATATTTTACATTGGTGATTGTGATATATGATATTAAACCAGTAGATACCAGTAAAAAAATAAACCATTACATAGAAACGAGTGGTTAACAATTTGACAAAAAGATTTATGACAACAAAGCACTGGAGTTTTATTTGTTTCGAGAGGGTAGGAAATGTAAACGGTTTTTAATGATACTGCAGATTTTGACTTACTGTGGTGACATTTAGATGGTATTATTTTCTATTGTAGTCCAATTGCAGATTTTTTGTAAATAGTATTCTATATATTTATAAAACTAAATAAAGAAGTAAATATTTATTAATGCACACACATATATACCGGTATTGCTCTCTGATAACAAAACGTTTAAGTCTTTAGTAACCATATCCGGGTCAGAAAAATACGTAATAGTTATTTTTAAAGGTAAGTGACTCTATTTTATCACTGATTTGCAAAGTATTTATGTAAATGATTACTATTGCTATTTTGCACAGTTGAACCTATATTTTGCTGGCGTCTTGAATGCCTTGGTTACCTTTGTATACACAATCCACTTCGAATTTTCCCAAGGGATTGTGGTTCTTGAGGGACAGGAGTGAAATCATTTAATTCTATTTTTATACTGGATATGAAGAAAAACCGTTTATCCTTTCTATAAATCATTATGCATATACATGTATGTAAAAATAAAGATTTTTTTTGTAAATGTTAAATTATTTAGCTAAAGTCACTTAAATTCTAGATATCAACAAGTTCTTGTCACTTATTACTGGCCTTTCAAAATAAATGAAATGGAGCCCTGATATACAAGTTAAAATCCCAAAGTTTAACTAAACAAAAATGACATTCATATAAATAACATGGTGTGTTATAGTTTATACCAATTTATTTTAGTTCGATTGAGTTGGAAGCTGTAAACTTTTTGAAATACTCTCGAATCCGTTCCTTGAATCAACCAGTACTAGGTAGTGTGTGTAAAGTTTCTTGCTCACAAAAACAACGAGTTGCCCATGGCGGGGTTTCAACCCACGCGGACGGTAATCCTCAGATTACTAGCCCGTCACGTTATCCACTCGACCGCACTGCCATTCAATAACAATGTACAAAAATGTTTTGGTGGTCCTTTTACACAGTTATTTAGTGCACCTAGTAAAAGTGATTATATATGTATGGCTTCTTTTTCTCTTCCTGGTGAAAATGCATTTTTGTTGAGCAACAATGTTCTTGTTCATTCATTGCAAGATTTTGTCAAATATGTGTGTATTCAAAAAGAGTACAAAGATGGTATCACGTTACAAACAAATTAGTATGCAACTACTTTGTACATTTGTATATGTATTACTAAATATGCTTGTATTAATAATATACACGCCCGTTTAACTCACAACGAGTGAAAAATGTCCATCGGTTAAAATGTTGTGAGCAACTTCCGTTCCTCGCTGTGAGCACCCATCTTTGACGAGTGACACGATAAACAAGATGAGTTTTTCATAATTTTTGAAGATTACAGACATTTATGTAAAAATATCGAAATGCAGTTAGCTAGCGATGTGTTTTCTGAGTATGCACATGTAAAGATATTGCCTGTTGGTGGACAATTTGATGGAAATACTGTGCGACGCAGTCACTCGGGGTAGCAGGAAAACTGGAGGCAACTTCTCTTTGGACCTTATTCAACATTGAAAACGTCGATTCTGGTGACGTTCTGTGCATTCTATCCTAAAACAGATGCCCACAAGTCTTCAGCGTAACTTATTATGTGAAAGTCTTCATAGAAACGGAGATATACCCGTTTTTGCTTTAATTCTCGTTGTGAGCATGACAAGCGCATTGCGTGTATGGTTGTAATATGTAATTCAGATGGTGAAAATATAATTTTCAATCTACCACAGCAATTAAAACGTTTTTGCACAGCAGCATTTCTTTGCAAGGCGTTGTACATACCCCAGATGGGGGCATATTAGTTTTGAAATGTCCGTCTGTAAGTCCGTCAATCTGTCCGAAAACTTTAACATTGGCCATAACTTCCTTATTAGTAAACGGATTTGATTCATATTTGAACACAACATCCCTTAGCACCTTCCTACGGACCTGTATTTTTTTACCTTGACCTCTGAATGGCCTTTACCTTGAAGGTCAAATTTTCAAAAACATTTAAGATTGGCCATAATGTCCTGGCATAAGGTTAAGGCACAACACATCAAAAACTTTAACATTGGTCATAACTTCTTTATAAGTAAGTGGAATTAATTCATATTTGGATACAATGCCCCTTTGGACAAGACCTTCCAACTGACCTATATTTATTTCACCTTGACCTTGAATTACCTTCACATTGAAGATCTAATTGTCCAAAAACAAATAATCTATCTGGTGCATAAATCAAAGGACAAAGCAACACTTCAGGGGCATTGTCAACTTACCGTGATAGTTCTTGTTTTACATTATTTGGTCAGTCTTCAGCTCAGGATAAACACATGTATGTGTGTATCACACAGATTGTGAAATTGTTGAAATATTCATAAACACCCCGTGATGTTCACTCGTGCCACACTAGAGTATACGAAATAAAATACCTGATTTACCTCCACTGATTAGTTCTTCTGTTATTCTGATGACTTGTGAATATGAAGAATAATTTTCAAAAAAAGAAAAAGAAGAACTATTGCAAAGAAAAACTATTGTACAAAAACGTTTTGATTGCTTTTGGTAGATTGAAAATTGTATTCTTGCCATTTGAATTACATATTAAAACCAGACAAGCAATGCGCTTGTCATGCTCACAACGAGGTTATGGTGCTCACAACGAGGACTAAAGCAAAAAAAGGTATATCTTCGTTTCTACGAAGACTTTCAGATAATAATTTACGCTGAATACTTTTGGGCATCTGTTTTAGGTTAGAATGCACAAAACGTCACCAGAATCGACGTTTTCAATGTTAAATTAGGTCCAAAGAGAAGTTGCCTCCAGTTTTCCAGCTACCCCGAGTGACTGCGTCGCATGGTATTTCCATCAAATTGTCCACCAACAGGCAATATCTTTACACGTGCATACTCGGAAAACATATCGCTAGCTAACTGCATTCCAATATTTTTACATAAATGTCTGTAATCTTCAAAAATTATGAAAAACTCATCTTGTTTATCGTGTCACTCGTCAAAGATGGGTGCTCACAACGAGGAACGGAAGTTGCTCACAACATTTTAACCGATGGACATTTTTCACTCGTTGTGTGTTAAACGGGCGTGAATATATATAATTAACATAGTAATGTTATTAAAAGTTCGTATCGTATAAACTGTACCAACATTTACAAATATGCCAAGACAGGTACAAAAATATTCGGCTACATGGGCCTATATGACACAATCAAATTACATGAATGCAGTTTACAAATGAATGCATTTATAATATCAATTCAATAGTTAATACATTTATAATAGATGTATTTTAGTTCTCTTTTTATATACTATATATAATTTCAAAGATAAGCAAAGACATATATAATATATCAATGGCATATCTAGCCTTTAGAATTATTTATTAAATAACTATACGTTATTAGTCCTATAAAAAAGCACCTGCCACGTTCAATAACACGATGGCCTGCTTTAAAACAGTGCCAATATCCGGGGCCGAAAAGTGATATAGATATAAAGCCCGCATTTGAAGTAATTTCATTGGCTAATAAAGCAGGGCCAAAAAATGATATAGATTTGTGCAAGAAACGGGGAAATGGCATCCATTTCGTTTAAACTCGGTATATGTGTAGACGCCGACAGGTTGCATAAATAAAAAAGTTACTAAACATTCACGCCATGATTTAGTAGTGTTTAAGCGATTGTGTTATAAATTTACAACGTGTAGAATTCACGAAAACACAAACATTTACCGACTTTGTTCAGCAGGAATCACAGTAGACAGACTGACATTTTGTTGTACATGTACACTATAAGTTACAGAATGTAGGTTTTCAAAACAAACTGATAAAATGTAGTTATTTTGACAGTTGTTCTTTGTTATAATTAAGATATCTTAGAATTAAAATAAGAAGAAATATCCGAGGATTAAATGTGAAAAATTATAAGTTCATGTAGTAATTTAATAAAATTGTCAATAAATAAGTGATTTGATATTGGCCCTGTTAGTTGTCCTCGGATCTGTCGTATTGGCCTTCGGCCTTGGGCCAATACGACTGCCCTCGGACAAATAACAGGGCCAATATCAAATCACTTATTTATTAACATATGATATAAATTATATCAATATTTGCTATAGAAATTTCTTTGAGTTTGTATAATTTTGTCATGGGATGCTTTTATATCATTCTTGTTTGCCATTGTTTTAATTGAATTCATTATTAAGTACAATTTGAATTAAAATAGGTATAAAACATCCATCTTCACTTTGAATTCATAAGACTACTGTTCCCTGTACAGGTTGGCAAGCAGTTTACCAGTACAAGTTGACTTCACCTTCGCAAGGAAAGCTTATTACGTGTGTACATGTCTGAGAAGAAGAACAGTGTGAATGATTTCATAATCAGTCACAAAGAAAGTCACCTGCATCCACGGGAAAACTTTTACTTATTTGATGAGTTAACAAAGAGTCTCAAAATCAGTTACTCATTTTAGTGGTTATGGTATTTAAAAAAAAGTATATGCCTGCAATTTCCAGCATACACATTTATCAGTACCTTTATGAAAACAGCAATAAACAAACTCGAACTCAACAAGTTCAAGATCTTGCACTCTACCTCGGTATCAAATCAGATAGGTATGAAACAATAAAATTATTGTACTATGAAACATCGTCCCTATGTCATTTTATTAAACAGTGTTTTTCAAATTATATAAAGTCAAATCACTTTGCCTCTTCTATTAGATTTCAATAAATTAAATCCTGAATACTAAGAAAAGCTTCTTTAGAAATGTTGATATAAATACTAATTCATTACAAAATAAGATCGTTTTGATGGCCAATTGATTTAAACACTTCAAATAACTCAAACTATAGCAATGATACCTTCATATGATGAACCCATTTAAATATCTCGAGAATAGCAGTTTCGAAAATAAAAATTAGAAGATTATTCGTAATATATTGTTGTCCGTTTACGATTTCTGAAGATTTTAGATTCAGATGTAGAAAAGATATCTTGCCATATTTCATAGCTTTAAATTTAAATTACTTATTTAAATGAAAATCTTTAAGTGACGGAAACATATCTCAATAAAAATATCTTGTATGTAAACAATTGTGGCGTGCCATAAAATGCGAGTTACAAAATCAATACACAGCTTTTATCTTCGGGTTTTGTGTATAACTTGACAAACAAGTTTATCCGTTAGAAACAAAATGGCGACGTGTGGAAACATTTTGTCGTCCGAGAAAGCTTATGATTACAATTGTACGCCTTGTTCTCAACAAGAACGGTTTGTGGAAGCCAAGAGATTTTGTATTGAATGTGTCGAGTATTTTTGCTCAACATGTCTGGCCCATCATGAGAAATTTGGTTTAACTCGAGGACATACACTAGTGAAATGTGAGGAAGTTTCAAAAATCAATGTACCGACACCCCTGAGTAAATGTGAACTTCACACCGACAAGGAGGAGGATATGGTATGTGGTGATCACGATGTCGTCTGCTGTCGTGTGTGTATCACTAAAAAACACAGGTAACATATTCATTATGTTTAACTAATATCGTTATCACTGTGACAATGCAGTTTTATGAAAAACTGTTATTTTATACCACACAAACTAGAGAGGCATATAGAATCTACTTTATTAAAGGTCTGTCCGTCCTTCCTTCCGAACTTTGTCCAGTCCATAACTGTCACTTATGGATGGATTTTAAAAATATTTTGTATAAATATGTAGCAAATTGGGACAATGTATCATGTATCTGAAGCTCAAAGGTTAAGGTCACATTGTGACTTCAAAGGAAATTTCTAATTAAAAATCCGCTGACGTTCTTGTCATTGATGGATGGATTTAAAAAGCATTATGCATAAATACATGTTGAACATTGTGACGACAGGTCGCGCCCAAGGATTATGTCCCTAGCTCACATTTGTAGGTCAAAAGTCATGATATGATTTTTTTAAGTGCAGAGATGTAAATTTCCAGTCAACAATTCTGTCATTCCTGGATGGATTTAAAATTCTTGTGCATAATTGTGTTGGACATAATGACGATGTGTCGCGCATGAATCAGAGGTCAAATGTCAAGGACAAAAAGTCCTGGTATACTATAGATGATTTTTTTTATAAAAGTACATTGATGTCTGTGTCCGGTCAACAATTCTGTCATTCCTGGAAGGATTTTGAAATATTTTAATTAGCATAAATGTGTAAAACAAGATGATTGTTGCTGAAAAGGGTCAGGTATCCAGTTCAAGGTCAATGTCAAAAATATGTTAAACATGCTGATTATGAATAGATTGTCTTCTTTTGTATTAACGGATGAACTTTGAATTAAAGATTCTTTAATAGGCTGCTTAAGATGATATGTATTGAACAAAATTTAGGCAATAGAAAATAAATTCCCAGATTCTCATCCCCGCCCGCCCGTCATAAATTGCTCCGCCCGAACGATTTTTATTTTCAAAAAAAAAAAAGAAAGAAAGAAAGAAAAAGAAAGAAAGAAAAACAATTAAGTTTTTTCTTGCTTGATTACTGTGTACGGATGCAGAGTATTTAAAGTATATTTTTAAGTGAATCATCATCCGTGTGGCCGAAAGTCCGTCAGTCTTGGTCCTGGCTGAATAAAGATCGGATCATACGGGCCGAGATAAAATTTCTTACCGTGAAAAATCCTCGGGTCCAAATAAATTTCTAAGAGCTAAAAATAACCTGCTTTGATAGTTAAAATGAAATGTGTAAAAGAACTTGAACTATATTGAACTTTGAACCACAAAAGACCAATTTTTGACAAATCAAATAGTCCAAAAACCTTAGTTCATAACAGCATCGGTAAATTTTGCCGTAAATAACAAAGTTTGAAAATTTGTTTTACAATGCCTTTTGAAATAGCAGCTGAATAACAATTTAAAAATACTCATAAAATAATATATCTGATAAAATCAACAACAACTAGAATTGTGAATGGTTATGCAGGAAACAGACATTTTTTCGTTTGTCACATATTTTCGCGATGCCGATTTTTATAATACAAAAAGAAGTCACCAAAAGGAAGCCTTGTATTGATAAAATTTGTCCAATAACACTTTAAATATAGTTTACTTATTAAATATACTTACTGGATTGTTTACATTATTTTAGAATGACACATTTGCCAGTGAGTGTTGTACAATGGATATTTTCCTAAGGGAGGGGGATGTGGAAACACAAATATATTATACAAGCTTCATGATGGAATTAATCAAGAAGAAACAGCAGAATTGGGAGTCCCAGGATTTTGAAAATCCTAGTGAGGACCATGATTATTTCTACCGTCCAGATTTTGTTTTGTCATTGCAAGCCAAACTAAGAAAAGCCGTCATTTTGACATTCACCCAGGTTGTTATCATATTATACTAGAAATGTCACGTCCTGAAATAATCATCTGAACCAAAAATAAATAAAAGCGTGCCGGTCCGTGTGGCCTTAAAAATGAATTTCGCGTATAATCTTCATGGTCAGCGTGCTGCTTGATTTTGTATGTAATCTTTATAATATCTATAGTCATAAATAAGATAGCTTTTTAATATAATAGGTAAATCTCTGTACTTTCTTTGCCAAATTTTCAATAGCTTAGATGTAATTTTTGCAATGTGATATATAAATAGGATTGTCTTTTTGTCTAGCTTCATTGATTGAATTAATTAATTTACTCATGTAAAAGCACTTTTGATCTGCATAGACATAGTACATCTTTATTCAACTCTTATAAAATTAAGATGTCTTATTATGTAACAATACATGTAAATCTATATTTTTTTTTATTTTGTCAAAACATCAATTGGTTTGATGTAAAAATATAAAAGGTTCAATAAAACAGCTAGATCATTACAATCAAGATAATTATTATCATGTTGCTTCCATTCTCAATCTGAATCTATATATATCTTACATAAACATAATGTTAGAACCTATTATATAGAACAAATTCCAAAATATTGACCTCTTCGTGTGTAATTCCAGACCGAGAATGGAAAATAAAAAATAAAAATTAAAATCCACCCACCCGCCCCATTTTTGCCCAAAATTTGGATGAGAATCTAGTTATTTATTTTCTATTGCCTTAGCTCAGCAGCACAAAAACGCTTGAAGGAGAAGGTTATACTTGAATGTAGTACATCGATTGTTGTGTCTGGTCATGTCTTTGTCATTCATTCATGGATAATTTTTTAAATAATTAGGCACACTGATAATATAAGAAAGTATGTGTTAATGTTTCTAAGACTATATTCTTGCAACACTCTAGTTTTATTGTAACAAATCAAAGGTAATGGTTCCTGTATTAGGGCTGCTTGGAGGGCACTTGTCTGTTTCCAACGGCAGTTCTTGTTTCATATACATATACATTGTATGTATTTTATTTGAGTTTATTGTGGATATGATAGTGAATAATTAATTTTCATTTGGCCTGTCTCCATGCACATTTCTTTTTACAAAAATAGTATGAAAAACCTATTTTTTGCTTGAAAAAATGTTCAGCCTTGTTTGATAAATATGTTTTCAAATTTAATTTCTGTTACATATATTATAAGGAAGTGATTGAAATGATTTTTGCGTTAATTTAGGTCTATAAAATGCACAATTGTCATTTTCTCAGACTTGATGGAAAACACCACTTTTTTTCTTCGGTTTCAGATCATGTCAAAATATTGATTATCTGCCCGAATTGGCAAGGCAATTTAAAGACAATGGAAGACGTAAGGAATTGGAAGATGACTTAAATGATAGAATCGAAGAATTGAAATCAGCGCTCAAAGGAAGTACTGCCCGTGCCCTAAAACTTAAAACGAGACAGACGACACACTTAAAGCGATTAGATATCTTTCAGAAGTCTATTGTTGAATATGTTGCTTTTCTTGTAAATAAGACCAAAAATGATATCCAGAATCAGTTTGGACCTGAAATTTGCAGCATACAGGAACATTTGCAGAAGTATAACGAGCAGCTTTCGAAACTCAACAATCTCTCGGAAGTCTTATCGAACGAAAACGATGAAATCTTTGAATATAAGAAAGTACTTAAATGTAAGCACACACTTAAGGAAATTCAAATCGGAGGTAACGAGCTCGATGATAGTTTAGCAAGTTATAATAAATTTGAAAATGAAGTTATGGAGGCAGTTGTCAGTTCTTTGAATGATGGTTGTTTGTTTGGAACTGTACCAATTTTAGGTTCTAAACAACCTATTGATGTTACTAGCATATGTTTTAAAGAAGATAAAACCTCGTTCTTAATTCTATTGGCTGATTTTTACAATAGTAAAATCAGACGTTTTGAAAATGGTCTAAATGAGACTGAAAGTTTTAATGCTAAGGAAAATATTTGGGGGGTTTGTGAAGTAAACAAACATGAAATTGCATTTACTTTGCCTGCATTGAAGAAGGTGCAATTTTTATCGGCTGAAAACAGTCAAGTTTTAGAAAAAAAATTTCATACAAATATACATTGTCGTGGTATCGCATGTCTTAATGAAAAGATTTATGTAACAGGTGGCGGAATGATTGGGGAAGAGCAAGGTCAATTAAATGTGTTTGATATGAAAGGGAAACTACTCAGTAAGTATGAACAAGATTTGGATGGATACTTTTTCAGTACTCCACGAAGCATTAAAGTAAATGCCGAAGGGATATTCATCACAGATGAACAAAAAGGTGTCGTTTGTTTAGATTTGGAAGGACAGCGGAAGTGGGTCTCAAACAACTCAAAATGCAAATTTTCATGGGGAATTTGCTTCACGTCAAAAGGCAATCTTTTTGTTTCTGGACAGTTGTCAAACAATATTGTGATTGTAAGTAAAGATGGTGAATTTCTTGGTGAACTGTTAAACGAAAACGACGGTCTATCAGCACCAAAGGCTCTCAGCATTGACAAACGGAACAATTGCATATTAGTCTCTGAATTGAAAAAGCCAAATCTGAAAATGTTTTACATTGGTGATTGTGATATATGATATTTAATACGCAGAGTAAAACGTTTGCTATAAACGTGTATTACATATATATAACATATATGACTACGGCTTTTATTGAATAAATGCCGTGATATATCTTGCAGCAACATAAGTAACAGTACTGGACTGTTCCACATCATGCTATTAGAGAGTAAAACATAAAAACGCTTTAATCTATGATGTAATTTTAGATGGCGACATTCATTTGGTTTTATTACTGTCATCATTGAAATATTGTGATTTTTGTAATTAAAAAAACTGTAAAAGTAAATTTCTTGTATTATTTAGGTTAAGGTTTGAATTTGCCGAGCTATCAAACCTGTTTTATAATCAAATTCGCGTTTACAAATAGTTTATTAACTTGCATAAGTACAGAACACAATATTTTGCTGTTCGTCTATATTTACAATTTGGGAGTTGTTTTATACAGAATTAACTGAATGTTTTAAGTATGAATTATATTTATAAGTTTGACGAGATGTGAATCATTTAAACGAATATTGAATAAATAATTCTTTTATCAGTTATATTTCATGTGCAACAAAATCTGCCGTCTCTTCCTTTACCTTATGTATGATACAATATCAATATATAATTGATAGGTTGTTTTAGTTTAATGGGATAGAATAGTTGTTCCCGACACAGCTGAGACTCTATTGAAAGACTTTTGAAACACAATCAGTGCTAACATTAATATTCTGGACGTGGAAAATTATCAATAACGAATTTATTTGTAATTCAAAAAAAAGTGACAATGTGTTTACTATTATTATGTTAACAAGAAGTGTCTAGGAATTGTTTTCGTCACCAAACAAACATTGTCCTATTTAAAGGTAATTGTGTCCAGACAATCCATGAAGACCTAAATTATGGAGCAGAATTTGGGTATTTATTCGCTGATTATCTTTCAATTTCTATTTATCTAATTTATATTCGTATTCATTTAATTCTTATCTATAATCATATAAATTTAAATTGATTTAAACAAGTTTAATTGCTACTTTTTAATTGCCAGTTAAACATTTGTATTTTGATACTGCAGACTGTAAGGATCAATTGTTTCGACTTCTTGTTTAAACTACGTGATTAGATATCATGTTTCATACTTCTTACTTTTCAATTTGAATAATTTAGTTTTAACTCATGATCTTGAACGTCCTTCCTTTTCAGAATACAAAGTGGGTTACATAACAATGAAATAAAATCTTTACGAATGCACCTAGACAAATACGAACTGTAATAACACGAATACGAAATTACATTGAAATTTAAATTTATACATCTGGCCGGGAACCAATATTTCCGTACAAGTCCGTAATTTCTGACGGTGTAACCATTGAAATATTCTCTTCAAAAAAAATCCACGAAATCCAGGGTAGCACTCCACAGTTAATTTCAAGTTTCTGCCGTCAATGTCCTACAAGCAATACATGTACGTTTTTCTGATACCAAACTACACAACCTTGAAAAAGAAAACACATTTGTTGAGGACATATATGACATAAAATTGCAAATCTACATAGAAAATCATCCCATCTGCAATAGGCAGGCATGA